CCCCCCATTAAGAATAATGCTCCGATGTCCCTGCTAGACCTCTTTAGCTTAGCACATTAGTCCTTGATCTTTTCTTTGGTCATAATGTTTATTCCCATTTTGGGCTACATGTTAAATATATATCCTAGAATACTTTTTCTTTGTTAAACAGTTGCACTTGTGCGACCAATCATATACATAATGCAATGCTACAAAGAATCAGTTATTTGCATGGTCTGGTCATTGTATATTGTATAATATATCATGTTGAATACCTGGTAGGAATGAAAGTCAAGCCCAATTTTATCCAATGCAAACTCATATGCCTGGGACATCTTTTCCCTGGAAGACAAGAATTTATTATTTCAATCAATCAGTCATTCACTTACTCAATCAATCAATGAACCAATCAATCAATCAATTATGTACTCAATCAATCAATAAATCAGAGTTGTCCGATTGAGTGAGCCATGTTTGAGCCCCGAGTCAAGTACGAGTCAGGAGTCAACCACAAGTCATACAAAATTTTCCCTAAATTTACCAAGACAAATAAAAGAAGACATTTCTTCTACCTATCTGCCTTACTATTAACGAGTGTCAAAGCATGAGATCTAGAGATTTTGTGAAAATTAAAATTAAGAAACACTGACCTAAAGTTTGGCAAAGTGCTTTTTGTTTCCTTGACATACGTCAGATATAACTTCCACAGCTCAATGTTCAATACTTTTATCAGACATCTTTGGAACAACTGCCAAAAGAAAGAAAGAGCAATTTACTGCTGCAGTCACTGTTATAACTGCTACAGGCTGATTGATCAGACAAATGTTGTGACTGGAAAACTGGGCAATAGATTGACACACAGCAGACGATGAGAAACAGGAAAACATTGCTCACAAAATAGAGGTCTTGTAGCCCGTGATGGAAAAGCTCCAGGGCAAAAGTATCAGGTATGCTTGTCCTATCTCTTAGGGGTAAAAATCAGCAATATGGTATTTTTTAGGGTTTTTTTTCTTTGTTTATTTTTTAGGGTGCTAAAATTGACATTTAGAACTTTGGAATTTTTTGGTATCTTTCAGGGTTATATCATGGGATAAAAATTGTCCAGCCACGCCATGCCAGTATCCTTTTGTGCATTGTTGAAAATTTTTTTGACGGACATACCCATACTTTCATTACCTATATTTTCATTTACCCCAGAGTGTCCCCCCCACCCCAAGACTTTACACCCGTTTTTCTACTCATTTCATTATTCTGTATTTCTTTTCCGTTGAATTAGTTCTTATTACCTTCTCTACTCTCTCATAATTTTGATGTTTCATCTGCAGAAAAAGAATTTGGTTAAAATTAGTAAGAATGCCTTACTTTAATCTGCAGACAAACATTCATGTAGGTATACACCTACTTGCAAGAACGTTGTCATACGATATTAGAACATTAGTGATTTAGTGAGAAAGGAATACATAAAAGACAAAAGAAAAAGTTCAACTTCAGTGATCTTTTGCTTTTTAATATAATTCCTATCAGACTAAATCACTGTTCTATTTTCGTATGACAACCAGTTCTTGCAAGTGGGTATACCTCAAACAAGCTAATAGACCTTTCCTCAATAATCACATGACAAGAGTAACCATGAAACAATGACTCCAAGTTGAGGCCGGACTCAAGCCAACAGACCCCTTGCACTAATTTCCAATCTAGGGGCCAAAACATCTTCAGATTTCCCATCTTTTTTGAATAGGGCCTCTTTATCTTGGGTGTAATGCTTTCTCATTTCAGTTCATGTCTCATTCCCTAGAGCATAATTTCTTTGTTTAATGGTTGTGAATGAGAAGACACATGAATATGGATACAACTCACACAAAGAATCATATTCTCAAGAAAATAACACGTGGTCTGAAATGGGAAAACATTACGCCCAAGCAAGAGGTCTAATTTGAAACGCTTTAGGATGTAAAATATTTTTCACTATTTTGACGCCCGTGTCTTAGTGCAAGGGGTCTATAGAACAGTTACCCAATGAATAGTTAGTAGACTAATAGAGGTTAGATCTTATTTTCAATATCTTTTTTGTGCGATTATTTGACTATTACATGTTTAAAATCAATTTTTGCTATATGGTTTATGAAATCACTCTATGCTTGAGCAGAAAAAAGGAAATTCTTTGGCTGTTTTGCAAGATACCAAGTCCTTATATGATTCTCTCCTATATTTACACCTAATATTACATCATCAATTAGAAGACATTACTTCTAATGCATTTGCCACTTGTGGTTGGATGGCATAATGCCAAATATTCATATCTATGCCCCGCATTTACTATATAATTTTCTCAGTAATTATACCCCCCCCCCCCCCCAATGGCTTAAAAAGAAAGTCGAGTTCTTAGAGTGCAAACAATCAATCCGTAAGACACTAATTACTAAATAGCACAAAATAGTGCTAATTAAACAATAGAAAACAATGGAATTTGCGTGAAATTGTGCTATTTAGTATTACCAAAGTTTCACGGTTATATTGTTTGCACTCTAATGGCAATTAAAAAATTTCAAGAAGTTTTCTAATAATCCCTTTATTGGTTTCCATAGCGGGTTTCCAAGTTTAAGTCTTGTCTTCATAAAGATGAAACTTATTCATTATTCATTAATTTGTGTACTGTCATCTTGAAAATAATATTTGAATTCAAATCTATTCCCATATTGAAAATAACAAAAGCTAAAAAAACTGCAAAAAGTTTGGGAAAATTTTATGACGATCAGGATAAATAATTGTCGAATGGGAAGCAATCTCTTCAAAATATTCCTAACACAAAAGTCAAGGTATCGCATCATCTGCTGGTTTCTATTTCACTGCCACAGTTGCTTGGCAACCAGTCATATCAGAAACACCAACCATAATTGACCCATCTAAAAATACTTGGATTTGAGGCTAACCGAAAATACAGATAACTCACACTTTTTCTCAATGGAATTTGCGACATTCCTTTTGTATTTTCATGTTAGCCTCACACATGAGATAATTTTGAGAAGGGTCTGATGTGCTCCATAAATTAACAGGATTGAAAATACTCATTTTTACAGGTAAAAATTGTTTGTTAATGGGCAGCGTAAATCAAGGTATTCATATAATAATATTATTCTTATTGGCCTGACTGGCCATTCTTGAGGTTCAAGAACATCTCTGGGTTTCAATCAGCTAATAGGTATTTAGATATCATTATTTGTTCCAAGTGGTGGCAAATGATGTGACTACTGGCAAGGCTTAAAATAATCAGACAATGTCCAGCTAGAATTGGAACTTGTGGGGTAAAATCTTTGCCTTGTTGGTCATTTTAATTTTAATACATACAACCTTGGAGATCCAACAACCTCGTAACCAGGTATGGCCAAGCTAAAACTAATTTGGCCAGTGAATATAAGTGGCCATTATTTTAAGCTCTGACTGAGTGCAGTCAGGTCAAGGTTTGATTTAATACTGGGCTTCAATCAGCTGATGATTCTAAAGTCTTAATCTCATTGTCTGCTTCAAATTGATATGAAACAGTCAGGTCCAAATTTGTTTTCCACTGGGTTTTAATTAGCCAATAAAAGTCTTAGAAATTTTATTTAATTTATCCAAATGACATAGTTACCAAACACTGACCTCTGTAGGTAGGGTTTCGTAGGTAGACAGTCAAATAAAAATATATTAAGAACCTCATGACTAAGCTTATTAGAATTCTGCCCAAGACAGGAAATGAGATATTGTGATCGGCACTGTAATATCTTTAGTGTAAGAGATCAGAGGTGCCATTAATAAGATCGTTGGATTACATTCTTTTTTATGTTTCTGGATATATATATATATTTTAAAACGAAATAGTATGATTGATGTGAATCTATATTGCACTAAAATATTTTGATTAACCTATCTGTTAAGAGAGTGAGTCTATGTCTGTGAACCGTTCACTTAATCAAAAATTTACCTTACCTTTTACATTGTTGTTTTCCTAAAGAGTGAAGGCATTTAACCCGTGAAATAGAAAATGTTAGTCAATGTAGAAAACAATGGAATTAGGGTCCGCTAATGTGTATTAGTCTAATATCTATTTTACGGGTTTAATGACTTCACTCTAACTACCTAGTGACCTAATTACTGCCTACAATTAAATCTCAATCTAAATATTTTCAACAGTCCAGAGGTTGTTTCAGGGTTTGATCTGTAAGTTAGCTGTGCCCTGACTTAGATCAGCCCAGAGGTTGTTTCAGGGTTTGATCTGTAAGTTAGCTGTGCCCTGACTGAGATCAGCCCAGAGGTTGTTTCAGGGTTCGATCTGCGAGTTGGCCGTGCCCTGACTTAGATCAGCCCAGAGATTGTTTTAGGATTCGATCTGTAAGGTAGTAATTTCTTGACTTAGATCAACATATAGGTTGTTTCAGGATTCAATCTGTGAGGTAGATATTTCCTGATTTAGATCAACCCAGAGGTTATTTAAGAGTTCAATAAAATTGAATCATTTGCTACTGATTGTTGCTTGGTTACCACAATTCACTGAGCCAAAGAAGACACTACAGAATAATTTATCTATCCTACTACACTATTCTCCCTGCAAATACTACCAGTATACACTATCAATACTAATAAATAATTCAGTCATAAGTAAAGATGAATTAAAAAAATGGCCCCAGTTGTCAAAAGAGAATTGAAAGCTACAGCTTCCCATCCCATTATTCCCATTAATAATTTAATATTATCTGAAACGATGAATAAGTAAATAATGACACAACACAAGTGACCACAAATCACACGATCAAATTCAAAGAGACTTGACAAGAAATATTGGATTGAACACTTTCATCACACCCCCAAGAATGAATAAATTTCAAACAGAAGTTGTTTATTTTTGCAAGCGTTCAAGGCTACGTATAAAAAATATTTATGTTTATTATTATATTTTTCAATAAATAGTTTTATAAAAGCTACTCTTTTAGTTTTGCGCAAGTTAGATTCCTTTATTTGTTCGAGAATGTATTCTTATTGTCTTTACTGATAAGCAAAGACAATACATAAATTATATAGAGGAAAGCTAGGCTATAAGATCAGTAAATGATAAAGGATTGCAATATAATACAAGCAAAGGAAACTGGCCTGATTCCTGGGGCCTTGAACCCTTCCTTTAGAAAATCATTTCAAATGTCCATCAAATCAAACCATTAACAATAAAATCAAATTATTAAGCTTTGGCTGCTGTATCTCAGAATGGGACAATCACAAGAATTTAGAAGTTGACTTTTAAGGAGGGAGGAAAGCCTGAGCAAAAACTTCAAAGCACCGGAGAGAACCCACAAGTAGATTTGTTCACATAAAATACTGATTGCAGACAATGAACCCGAGTTGCATTGGTGAGAGGTGATGCATTACCAGCGCACACCACCCCGTGACATTCTACAAAGCCCAGGAATGTGACTAGCTTCTATCTTGCTTGTAATATGTGGCAATCCTTAAATAAGAACACTAATCAAAATTACTAAAAACCTCTTGTTCAATGTACAACCGCCAGTAACGTCCAGAACTGGGGAACCTCCTAACAAGCCTCTCGTATAGGACCTTGGATGTTTCTAGTGGAAAATTCTGAAGAAAAACAAATAAACATATAAGGATCATCAAGAGTAAAAGTCATTAACAGGAATTCATAGAAGTTGAATCTTCAATAAACCCATCTGACTTAGAGTTTGAAATTATGGAAGCAAAACTTGGATGTTCGCAAGGACCACCAAAAGATCTAGAAAGGKGAAACATTTTGACTCAAAGCCCCCCCCCCCCCTCTCCCACTGTCAGTCTGTCTTACAAAAAAAAAGAAGAAAATATTGAAACTAATCTTTATTTTATGCCATATTTTATGCCTATTTAACATATGTAGTGTATTGTGTAGTTCCAGAAATCATCCATACCCACCCCA